ATATTAGCCACCTGATTTTAAATTATGTATATATTACAGTATTATATCAATTTTTATTGAATTTATTATGCCAAAAAATTACCGGCCGAAAAATTTTTTCAGCTAATTTTTTATAGGTGTTCCAGGAATAATGAAAACAGCTGTAAAGATAAGCTATTTACATCTTTCATATTCAATAATATCATATCGATAATTCATCAATTGATGAGTGTAATTACCACCTATTTATTAGAACTGTTAACAGCCTGTATGACTTTGTTTGGCTCTTTAAAACTATGGCTCCAACTTGAGTCAATACATGACTTAAGCAATGTATACAATGGCTATTACTGGAAATGTGGCACCCGATATCTATTCAAATATGTGAATCTGATCACTATATACCACTATTTCGCATCAGAGTTATCCAATATTTCCAATGTTCATCCATTCATGGTTTTGCACAACAGTGTCGCACAGCTACCTTATTATATTTAAATTAGAAATTTAAGTTTGATGCTTACTTTCAATCTAGTTTATCGCAAAATTTAGTTTATAAGCATTAAGAATATTAATTAATTTAACATTTAAAATCAGTAATAAATACATATTTTATTAATTTAATCAGATATATATATATGTATATAATTGTTTAATAATTTATTGTGTAAATTAATATAAAATTACTTTATTCGTATTAAATTAGCTATGCAAATAATTAATAGATTATATGTTTATCATATATAATTATTATCGAATTTTTATTTAATCATTAATGTATATTATAAAATATTCTAATGTTTAGCTTAAAAAAAATAAATAAAATATTAAAAACAAGCTTTAATTTGAAAATATCAATTTTTAAAAGCTAAAGCGGAATTTGCTAGCAGGTTCGGTTTCAAGGAATACAATTCCTTAACTTTATTGAGATATTTATAATATTTATAATAATGAATAATTACTCAAAATTATTAAAATCCTATTTAGCACCTTTTAAACTAGCTTACTCATGAAATTTAATTCTGTCAAATTGAAAAAAATAGGTGATAACAAACATAATAAAAATAGAAAAAATCCTTATATATATCTAGCTATTAAGATATATATATCTTTGTATTTAAAACTTCAATTCTCTTCGAATAATAACTATGTATATAAAACTACTTTAAACTTAATACCAAATTGCTAATTCCTAAATTTGAAAAAAACTATAAATTTTATAGTCGGATTTACTAATATATAAGTATTAAATTTTTTTAATATATATATATATATATTTATATTTGTATCAAAAAAATTAATATAAATAAAATAACTTATCTATGCCAAACATTTCTATTGAAGAGTATTACTATAATCCAACTATTTAAAAAAATCAAATACACCGATCTTTTGTTATCCAGTAATTATATGCTCTTTCCCAATCAAAAATTTTACTTTCTGGCCCATTAATTGCAATTAGAAGTAGCATATGTAGAGTAGAAATATTAAGTTGATTTCAAGATTTAGTTTTGATTAAATTTTGGTGAGAAAAAACTCTTTCAACTGCAGCATTAGAAAGAGGCGTAATTAAAAAAATTGATGCAAGCTTTTTAATATTTGGAAATTGAGTAGAAAAATTAGGGAGATCAAAAAGTGCTTTCCATGTATAAATTGTTGTAGTAGTATGATAATTGAGTAATCGATACTTAAAAATATCTCATTCTTTAGTTAGTAAGTTATTATCAATAAGTGCCGGATATTCAATTTGATTAAGTTTTTTTGGTTTTCCATAAAATTCTGCTAAAGTACAAATCTCACTGTTACTATAAGAATGAATTTGATTATATTGTGGTGGTAATTCACATGGATCAAAAATCCTTAGTGAATTTAATATTTCAGAATCAGGAAAGCGATCTTGAAGAGATTCAACAGTTGCAACTACAAATTGTGAAATAAAATCAGGAAGATCTTCAATTAATATATTTTGTTTATCAACATATTCTCTTAAAAAGTTTCTGTAGTTTGGTAGAATTCCATTATGACCAATATAATTAGTAGTAATTGCATTAATAGTCGCATTCAAATGTGTATAAACCTCAGAAATAGTAACATAGTCTGCTTGAAAAAGATTCATTAAACTTCGCAAATCATAAAGAATATCAGCAAGAAACTAAAAAATAAAAATAACTAAATTAAAATGACACACATATATATATTATATTATATAACTTTTACCTTAGTAGCTAAATAAAAAGTTTGATCCATAGCATTATAAAGTCCTTATACAATAACATTTTTTAAAGAATTTTCTTTTAATACTGTTTTTACTGAATTTTAAATTTGATGTAAGTTAGATACAACATTGCTTAATAAAAGCCACCGAGTATTAATAATTCAAAGAAGAACTAAATTTGGATCATCTATTGTTCTACTAATTGAAGATTAACCATTCATTTATAAGAAGAACTAAAATAAGAATATAAATTATTAACAATTGAATTATAATTTTCAAAATAAGGAACTTTTTCAGCAGCATCTTTGGCTGCCAAAGCTAATCTATGGGCAATACAATGGTGTTCTAAAAGAAAAGAATTTTGCTTTTTAAAAATAGTCGCAACACTATTTTTTTTGCCTACAAAAAATAAAATTGTAAATATTTTATTTTATTATCCTAATTGGGCTTTATAATTTATTGTTATAGTGACGTATCACTGCTCTGGATTTGTATTAAAATTTTGAAAGTAAAATTTCAAATTTAAAATCTCTAAATGTCAAAATTTTAAACTTAATTATCAAATTGTGTGATGTTAGGGTTTCAATAATCAAACTTTGTATATAATTAGTAATTTATATAATTAATTATATGCAGAGTTTGAATATTAAAACTATGATATTACAAGTTATGACAATTAAGTTTCAGAGAGTAGTAATATATCGCTATATCAGTAAGTTATAAACTCTATAATAATTTATAATTTAAAATTTTTACCAATCATTGTACTAGCACCGTCACTTCCCATATGATATATATTGCTTATATCAAGTTTTTTTGCATTAAAAAATGATTAATATTATTAACAATTGATTGTGCAGCTGCATCATCTAATTGAATAATGCCTAAAAAGCGTATAACTGGATAGTTATTAGATAGATGTTTAGACACAATTGCTAACATTTTTTCTTGTTTAATTGTATTGCTTTCATCAATTTGAATACTCCAATATGGTGAGTTTTGAATTTCATCACTTAAACTTTCTTCAATAACAAATGAAATTGCATCTAAAAATTCCCGTGCAGAAACATCATTATTGTATAAACCATATTCTGAACGTACTAGATTAGATGGGTCAATAATTGATTATACATTCTTTAAACCAACAAAAGGTCCAAATAAAGCTTCATTTTTCGCTTCATTAAATTGCTGAGTGCTTAGATTTTCTAAATCCCTTAATCCATGAGTAGCATAATGATGTTTAGCTAAAAAATAAACATGTTGCATAATTCAAATAATATCTAATTTGTTTTTTGATATTGCACACTTAAATCCATATTCAATTGTTTGATTATTTAAAATTGGTTTACTTTTTTTATGATCTAGTGTAGTCGAATGTTGAATTAAAGCATCATGCTTTAACCAATCACATCCAAATGTAAATCTATTTGTTTTTTTAGCAATTTCGCCCCAAGTACAAAACATTTTACCACCTTCATTATTTTCTTCATAGCGTAACCAATCAAATTCATCTTTCCATTTTAAATTAAATTTTAAATTTTTTTTGTTAAGCCGATTTTTTTTATCAGTTGTATTGATATTTGTATCAATATTTGTATTGGAATTTGTATCACTATTAGAACTTAATAGCATTTCTAATTTCGAGGTATTTTTTTTTCTTTTGTTATTATTTGGATCTTTAGTAAAAAAATTATAAAGTGTATTTGATTTATTATCTTTTTCTTTTTTTTGTGACATTATTTTTATTATTGTCATTATGAATTTAATCGAATTTTTTACTTTTTATATAATTTATACATTTTCTAAATTAATTATATAATTAATTGCAATATAAAGTAAAGTAAGTATTTATAGCAAGAATAAACAAGTAATAGCGATAGTGATAGCAATAAATAGTTTGCAAAAAGGTATAATCTTTGCAGATCATGATATCATATCAATATAAAATTGAAATTTGTAAATCACTATAATTATTTAAGTAATCATCTGATTGTTGCTAGTTAGTATAGTTATACAATATATGCAGAGAAGAAATTCAGTATATACAGGTTAAGTAAGTTTAATGAAATGCCTAATAAGTTCAATAGGGCACAATAACTAATATAACCAAAAATAGTAAATTCTACTATTTTTACAAATCCTTTGTTTTATAGCCGGCCTGCACTATGTGGGTGAAAAATCACTAGCTAATGTTATGCATCGCTAATTTACTTATAAAACTTCTGCTTAACAGCCAGCCTGCTTTATGCAGATGAGAAACTACCAGCTGAGCTACAAGTCACTAGTTCAATTATATATCAATTGCACTAATGTGCAATCTAATAAAGTTTATTATCCAGTGCTATTTGAACTGGAGGGCATTCAACAGATATAAAAATTACATGTGTGCTATTCATTTCATTATATAAAAAAGCTGGATTGTATGTTAATAAGCTAATCAAATTATAAATTTAGATTTTCTTTAGTATAGATAGGCAAACTCTGCTAGCTTCACAACACCGCTATTAAAAAATTAATAATTACTAATTATTAGCAAAGCTTATTCTTATATTGCCTATTCATACTAAAGAAAATCTGTCACAAATATAATTAAAAGTATATTTAAATTATATATTTTTGTGTATCAAAATATAAATTTTTTTAATGCACAAAATATTTTGTGCACTATTTTTATTAAATTTTAAATGCACAGTTGTGCATTAATTTTTTAAAAATTCATGCACATAAAAAAACTTTCATGCACATATACATCTTGTGCATGTTAATTTTAAACACTGCATGTGATATTAAAATCATTTTTAGAAAAAAAATTCACATTGGTCCTTTTTAAGTGCAAGTTACCATTTTTGATAGATTAGCATATGAGCTTGTTAACGAAGTGACGGGGCTACGAGATCAGGTGACTTTATGAGCCATCTCGTTTTCTATTTCCTGGCTAGCCTTTTTTTAATTGTTGGCATTAGTCTGAAGTTTTTTTTTTAGACGCAGGTTTCTTGAGTTAACATTATGATTGCATATGGTTAAGAGAAGACGGTTGATTATGGTCGCTAGTAGACGTTAGAGGAAAAATAATTAGAGGCTTTGCAGTCATATAGAGAGGTATTTTCTCTTCACTATCGTAGGAGCACTGGCTGTTCTCCGTTGAGTTAGGCCACGCAATGTTGATTTTTCGTTTTGCATTACCCGCCGTCACATTTTTTCAGTTTTGCAAAAATTTTTTTTTAGATTCCAATTATGCCAATTGTTCGATTTTTGACATCTATTTTTTTCCGCTATTTTCATCCAGTATCACCCGACGGAGACCTTAATTTCCCGTAATTGTCTGATAGGACTGACAGAAAAATATGACTGCTGGCCCAATTTTTTTGATTCCTTGCTGTGCAAATATAACCTAAAATATGATCATTATTCTATTTGCAGTAAATTGGATTAAAAAAAAAAAAAAATCTGTTTGTCCGTCCCTAATTTTGAAATCCTTGTAATGCAAAACAAAAAATCAATTTTGCATGGCCTTAAATAAAATAAGTCTCGAAGCTGCAATATGTAGCTGCAAAAATGCTATACAGTATATTATTAGGCTGCAGTAGCAGTGCAAGGACAAGTTTAAGATAAATATACAACTGATTCTCTTTATAGTTACAGTATATGGCTTTCTTGAGAATTCTCTCTTACACGAAGCATTATAGGTTATTAGAGAGTTGCACAGTTGTCATCTTTATGATCCCTCTAGAAGGGTCTTTATATGTGTTTAAACCAGTTTAGAAGGCAATTCGTGCAGGCCTGTCAGTTTGGGTCATCAATGTTTTAAAAGAAGCTATTATCTTGGCGTAGAAATATGTAAATGATAATGAACTTATTCCCATATGTGTTTAAATAAAATAATGTGATTGACAATAATATTTAATAACTTTTTCGGACTGATTTTAAAAGCTTATTTTCATATCTTGTAAATCGTCAATGGTATAGAGTGAACCAACAAACTATTTTACTTATAAGAATATATCTTTTAGCATTAAATACTATAGAACAAACTTTATTGATTCCTTTTAAAATTATTCTTCCAAATTGCCCAAGTATGTAGTTATACTAATTCTGTTGGCGTTCATTTTTTTCATGGAATCAAGAATTGGTTTTATGAGTGAAGAAGTATCTGGACCAGTGTTTTGGCCTAAATCGAAAGTTTCAGCCGGGCGAAACTGGCGAAACCTCTGAAACCTAGTTTTGCCAAAGGCCTCAAAGCTGAAACCTCCGAAACCTCCGAACTGGGCAAAACTGCTGAAACTGGGCGAAACTTCCAAAACCTCTGAAACTGGGCAAAACTTCCAAAACTTCCGAAACTGATAAACACTAAGTTTCATATAAATTATAGTTAGGAACTAAGATTCAAATAAATAACCAATAAAATACGAAAATTTTCGGATATGTGAAAAACACATGCATAAATAAGTATAAAGTTACATCTGATACTGGCCGAAACCTCTGAAATTGGGCGAAACTGGCCAAAGTCTCTGGAATTCGCTGAAACCTCCGAAATTGGCCGAAACTGCCAAAACCTCCGAAATTGGCCAAAACCTCTAAAATTGGTAAACTTTCTGAAATATTCCGAGTAGAATATCAAAGAACGTAAAATACAAGCAAGGTGGAGAGAAAATAGAAGAAATTTCCAAAAGACAGAGATTTTTGAAGGATTTTTAGAGGGTTTCGGAGGTTTCGCCTGTTTCGTAGGTTTCGCCCATTTCGGAGGTTTCGCCCATTTCGGAGATTTCGCCCATTTCAGAAGTTTCGGATTTTGGGCAAAACCAAAACTCCAGGGGCGAAACGTTTTGGACTTTGGGGGAGGTTTAGGACGAAACACTGATATGGACATTTCAATTTTTATGACGAAATAAGAATCAATATCAAACTTCTGTATGCTATTAAGCATTCTTTGGTTTCAATGTTTCTACGAATAAGCAAAAATCTTAAATATTTAAATTTTCACTATATTAACTTTAATAATACAATATTCAAAATTCTTTATATGAACAATACTATTATCCATTTAAGTCTTGATAACATTTATTTGGATTACAAGAAATGACTTTATTGATGGAGATTATTAGCAAGAAAAATATTTGGCTGATTTAAGACTTTCTTATAATAAATTGGGTTATGAGGAAGAGAAGGCACTAGCAGAAGCTCTTTTCATAAACACTACATTGACTTCATTACCGTTGATTCTTGTTTTCCCAAACCTATCTTCCCGAAATACCATTCCCCAATCCCATAATTCCGATATTCCTTTTTTCCGACAAGACATATATTCTGACTAGGGTACGGGACGGGACGGGTCGGATCGGGTTTACTTAAACCCGACCCGGACCCGATTAAAACCCGACCCGGTACAAAAATTTTTTATCGGGCTCGGGTCGGGTCTGATCCAAACCCGACTGACCCGACCTGACCCGACCATTTTGTGTAGCATAGCAGCAATTCTGAAATGTATCATCACATATACATCGCATTATCTGACTTTAAAAAATTGACCGCTATGAAAATGAATTGTTTAGAAGAACTTTCGTTGATCTTCTTTTTACATATACTGCAATATGTTTATTATAAAAGTCTAATTGATATATAGTGACTTTTTATACTTCTTGTCAAGAATTATTGACACTAATATGTTGATAAGCATTCGAACGAAATTTAATAATGCTGACATTATTGTTACAACGACCTGTTAAGCAATTATGATACAGAAATAGTTTTTATTGCACGAGTCTTATGTAACAACCTGTGCTTTTTTCATTTACTTATTGGCACAGGATTGTACGTCAGACACCGTGCAATAAAATAGTTATTATATGGGTTGATATCTTACCAAAATGCTGCTGATATTCAGCAAGTATTTTGGCGAATATATAGGAGACTATCTGGTACATATCAGAAAACTTGACTTCCTGTATGCACTCGATATTCATTGATTCAACCTGTGTAATTGGATAAGAAGTTAAATGAAATGTGAACAGCTCATATCAAATACTTAGACCAATTAAACCAATGAATAATCACTAAACTTAAACTAAGCGCGCTCAATGTGATTAGAGATCATTCATAAGTACTACGATTAATTAAAGCGATCCCTGCTGTAACTTTGCTGAAGTCTATGACAAAAAAAGATGGCTTCAACCTTTTTTTTTTGTCGCAATAATAAACCTACTTACCGGGTTGAACTACTTTCCACCAATTAAAAATCGAGTTCCGATCTATAATTATGTGCCTGAGAGAACCTTAAATCATATGAATAAAATTGAAACGAGAAATTAATTAATACGTATATTGATTGATAATGTTCAATTGAGTAAATAAGAAAATAATTGAAATATAAAACCTGACATTATATGACAAGAATTTTGTAGACCAATTTCAACCTATTTGTTAACGCTTGTATGGTTTCTTTAAATACTATATTGCTTTTAAAATTATTATTACTGTAGCAACGTAATAATATTTAATGCAAAGCTTATTTACCATGGCCAAGTCATGCTCTAGCCATAATACAAGTCGTGGCTTCGATAATATGGTTTAATCTAAAGCTATGCAATTCAGTTGCAGCTGATGCACTTAAGTTGCAACTAAAACCGGCTTCGGAATAAGCTCTGAAGACAGTTGACAGTAAATATGTATTGGTTAGTTCTATTCCGAAGGACAATAATAAAAAAAAGCATTGATCGTCATTCACTTTAATTGAATAAAAA